TATGGGTTTATTTAGTTATTCTACCTCTGTTTGTATTAATTTAGGTAGGTAGTGGGTTTCTAGAAATTTGTCCATTTCCTCTAGGTTTTCAAATTTGTTAGAGTACAGTTTTTCATAGTATTCTGTTATGATTCTTTTAATTTCAGCCAGGTCTGTTGTGATATCACCCATCTCATTTCTTATACGGGTTATCTGTTTCCTCTTCTGTTTTTCTTTCGTCAGTTTGGCCAATGGTTTATCAATTTTGTTGATCTTTTCAAAAAACCAGCTTTTGGTCTTGTTAACTCTTTCAGTTGTTTTTCTGTTCTCTATTTCATTTAATTCTGCTCTAATTCTTATTATTTCCTTTCTTCTGGCACCTGAGGGCTTCTTTTGCTGCTCTCTTTCTACTTGTTCCGGTTGTAGGGTTAATGTTTTGATTATGGCCCTTTCTTCTTTTTGGGTGGGTGCATTTATTGCTATAAACTGACCTCTGAGCACTGCTTTTGCTGTGTCCCAAAGGTTCTGGTAGGATGTGTTTTTGTTCTCCTTTGATTCTGTGAATTTCCTTGTTCCCTCCTTAATTTCTTCTACAACCCAGTAGTTTTTGAGCAAGGTGTTGTTCAGTTTCCATGTGTTTGATTTTTTTTCCTTGCTTTTTCTGTTGTTGATTTCTACTTTTATGGCTTTATGGTCAGAAAAGATGCTTTGTAATATTTCAGTGCTTTGGATTTTGTTAAGGCTTGCTTTATGGCCTCATATGTGGTCTATTCTGGACAACTTTCCATGTGCGTTAGAAAAGAAAGTATACTTGGCTGCTGTTGGGTGGAGTGTTCAGTATGTGTCTGTGAGATCAAGTTGGTTGACTGTAGCATTTAGCTCTTCCGTGTCTTTGTTGAGCTTCTTTCTGGATGTTCTGTCCTTCACCGAAAGTGGTGTGTTGAAGTCTCCTACTACTATTGTGGAGCCATCTCTCTCTTTTCAGTGCTGTTAGAGTTTATGTATTTTGGATTCCTGTCGTTGGGTGCATAAATATTTATTATTGTTATGTCCTCCTGGTGTATTAACCCTTTAATCATTAAATAGTGAAAGCAAGATGGGGCTGACAGCCACCCCCAAATGTCCAGGAGGAAGGCGTGTCCCTGTTCCCTACAGCGCATAGGTGGGTGGATTTTGCAGCTGGAATATGAGCACCTAATGCTGTTGGCCGTATGGACTGGGTGGCATCTCTTATTCATGGGCCCCTATCACAGGTGGCTAGGTGGCATGGGTGGAGCCACCCATCCTCAGGCCCCTGATGCGGGTAGGCCCCTGCTTAATGAGCAGAGCATGTCAAATGTCAAGAACCTGCCACTTCACAGGTGAAACAGTTGAAGTCAGAGTTCCAGTATATGCCCTGTTGTACTGCGGTAATGAGGGCCTGCGCTGTTGAGATGGGCCCCCACAAGTCTATGCAGGGGGAAAGGCAGTCAAAGTCCCTGAATCCCTTATGCCTGTGCCTAGGCAAACGAGCTGTGCCTACCGGGGATTCCTGGCTTAGGGGTGCCGACAGTTTATTTTTTCCCGTTTGTTAATTTGTTCACTCTCCAAGGTAGGGAGAATGACCCCGGGCATGTGACAGATCCTACTTCTGGCCCAGGGGACTCGGCAATAGCTGAAGCTGGTCTGGGACCCAGTACACAGCAGGGAGCAGGGAGGTAAATGGAAGAGAGGTTTTTCCCTAAGGGGGGCGTTTTTGATCTGCATGGTAGGCCGTATGGAAGTACTTATCTTTCGCCGATGAGGGCTGCTTCTCACTGGTTCTGGTGGCCGTGTAGACTCCCCGGCACTGGGTCTCTCCTGGTGCAGAAAACGCGCCTCCCGAGCACCGCTGCTTGCCTGCCTCACCACTGACTCACGAGCTGCTCAGGCCTGAAGGGCTCAGGGTCTCGCCGGGTCAGGTCTGACAACTCCTCACTGCTTCCGAACCTTGTTTCCCTACCCCTGCCACTCAGTCCAGTTCCTCAACTCTGCCTTTGATGTTCAGGGCTCCCAGATTGCTGTATATAATTGAATCACTTGTTTTTTTCGGGTCTTTGTTGTAAGAGGGTCCACCGGAAGCATCTGACTACTCCACCATCTTGGCCCCACCTTGAAAGGCTGAATAATTTATAAAATTCTATTACCAGATTATAGTAGTGCTCTTTATTGCCAAAGTAACATAGAAACAAGATTTACATAAAACAACCTTGAAATCAGTTTTATACATTTTGTTATCATCAACATGGACTACTAGGTGTGTATTTTTCAACCACTTCCAGATATTTTAAGATTTTTTTTTTCCAGAACAAATTTAGCCTAAGGCTAGGATATTAAATATCTATCCTAAACAAAACAAAAACAAAAACCCATTGCCATCAAGTCGATTCCGACTCATAGCGACCATTCAGCTATCTGAAATTATGAGACTGGAAGACAACAAATAGGTCTGTTTTGGTTTAGTAATTCTATAACATTAAGAGAAAATAATTCCTCATACAATTTATTCAGACGTTCTTCCCATTTCATAACTCTTCCTCCCGCCTGCAGGAGTAGGAAAAAAGTGATACTAGGTGATGAATATGAGTAAAGATTTGTTAAACTTTAAAAATCATGAAATAGTGAGTAGGGGATACTTATCTTAATTATTCTACTAAAGGAATGAGCAGTAGCAGATATTTTGTTTTGATGTTAGATTTTGGGAATAAATACAGCTATGATTTGAGGAATTCACAGTCCTTTAAGTGAAGGCCAGTATTTTTACAACTGTAGAGTTGACTACCTTCTTTATTCCACCTCATCCTTCTCAACAGTTAGAGATAGATGGTATTTTCTTTCAGCCTGCAGAACATAAGCTTAATTAAAAGTTATATTTTAAAACTGTCCAGTCCACTTGTTTTTTCACACTTTAGTTGGCTCAAGGCAGTAATAAACCATTCAGATTATGCAGCCTTCTCTTGGTATATATGAACTAATAAAAATGATGATGAATATAGGCCTGTAATTAAAGGATCATCATGTCTGTTGCCTCTTCATGGTACCTTAATTTGGAAACAAGATTAGCCATCCATGTACAATAGTAGTTATTTGCCATCAAATCATTAAAATGTGACCAACGTGCTTCAACAGAGAGAACTATCCTAATTTCTGTTTAACTGGCAGCACTGACTTGTTTGGAAAGGGACATGCATGTTTATATATAGTATTTGCCTATATTTGTGAAACAGTTATTACTACCTACATAGGCTCTGTAAATTATTTTCTGAACTTTGAAATTCACTGGGAATTTGCCACCTGAAACTTTTTTACCACTTCATAACAACTTTTAGTTAAGATACCTTTAGTGATCTTTTCTTGCATGCTATTTTACTACTTGGTTATATTTTCATTATAAAAAGAAATTAGTCTAGTTCATTGATCTCTTTCTCCAAGGTTAACATTTTAGTCTCTACTCCGTAAAATTCTTACACTCAGTTTTTCACAGTGGGCTATTATACAAAGTTCAATATAGTTATATCTTTTACACATTTGACAAAAGTAACGTGTTCCAATTTATGAAAGAAAATAAATTTAATAGGCAATAAAGTATGAAGCTCTGTGAAAGTAGTAAATATATGAAAATTATTTTAGAACTTGTTTTTCACAGATGCTGACCTACTGGTACAAGAGCAAAACCTGCGTTAGATGAGTGGTTGTAAGCTTCTCCATAAGTTGGTGTCCAATAATAATGCTTCTTAAGCCCATTGGAAACTTCCGCCAGATACACATGTCCATCCACCACAAATGGCTCTACATCTGTACTGTCTGGTTTTAAACGACCTGTGTCAATTAAGTCTGAATATGCCTAGGATTTTAAGAAAAGAAAAAATATATTGTTAACAAAATTGTTTATTCATTTCACAGTGCTTAAGCAAATTTAAATATTCAAATTAGCTATGTTAATTTGTAGTTTGAAGTAAAATATTCTGAATAACACTGCTAAATTTTAATATTTTCCAGGTATTATAGGTAGGTTTTTTAAATTCATTTAATTTCACACAAGGAAATTATAATTTTGCAAAACTTATTTCTAAGTTAATGTATTAGGCATGTTTCCTTTATCACTCCCAGAATTAACAATTTTCTATATTACCAGTTTTGTGGACAGATGGTCCCATAGTCAGAATTTTCAAGTCCCACATGGTTTCTTAATAGGGTCTATTGTATATGCCCTTGAAAATCTGATAAGTAGGGACCCGCTTCTCAGAAAAATAATTAAAATCACAGATTTTGGCATGTAATTATATGGAGTTCATGCCCCCCCACCCCAACGTAATCTACAGGTTTAGGCTAAAACAGGACAATTCCTATAGTAGTAGATGCTGAGCTTCTGGCCTGGCTGGTCTACTAATTATTTCTTCATTGTAGAATTTTCTTTGTACATCGCTTATGGATCCTTGGTGTCAATGTAAGACTGTCATATAAACATGCTGAACTGGTTTGTCAGTAGATTGCCATTATAAAGAAAGAGGCAGAAATTTAGACAGTAAAAGATTAAAAGCCTAGTTGCTTTCTGTTATAGCTTGTCATTTATTTGTCATTAGTTCCAAACTAAAGGACATAGATATTTTTCAAAAATTAAGAAGTTTGTTTTGTTTTGCTTCGTTTTACGATAGCAGTGTACCTTTTAATCTTCTTAGTGGCAGCATTTTGGTTAGTCCTTTAGCAAATTTTGAGAACTTGAACATCTAATTTTTTCTTCATTCTTTCCGAATGGAAATTTTTGTTACTTTGCTTTTTGTTTCTTTTTAAAGTAGTATCCAGGAATCTCTGTATTTATATATGTGAGAAACCAAATATTTTGACAAATATCTCTACAAGTTGCATGTCTTGTTTAATGTGGGAAAAGCTAATGGGCAATTTTGCCACGTCAAATTTAGAACAAATTGACAATTGTGAGTAGTCTTTTTAACTTTGGAAGAGTTAGGAGTGATTCAGTGATCTTTATGCTAGTATCTGATACTTGATATCTTTTGCTATTTCAACCACAAAAATTTCCAGTAGTTATTTTTTAGGACTTAAGTTAAAATTTAACTTAATTTAATGGATTAAATTAAGATAGATTGACACAGTGGCTTCAACTATGGGCTCAAGCATAACAACGACTATGAGGATGGTGCAGGACTGGGCAGTGTTTCGTTCTGTTGTACATGGGGTCGCAATGAGTCACAACTGACTCGACAACACCTAACAACAACAAAGTTAAAAATAATCAAAACCACAGTGTCTCCTTATGCTTTGTAACCATTTTAAGACACCATTCTAAGCTGTGAATAATATCTGATGTTATGGAGAAAATCTCAGAAAAAACTTACCACACACGTAGCCTCATCAAATTTGTTTCCCCAAATGTAGATATGAGAGAGTGTGATATTTGTTTTCATTGATTGTGAAAGTGCAACAAGTCCTTCTCCCTCTATGTTGTTACTAACTACTGACAACCTATGGAGAAAAAAAAAGTAATGACCCTGGAAACCAACAGTTCCACAAAGAGAGAATGCATGAGCTAGCCACAACTTTTATTACAAACATTTGATTGTATATTTATATTTTAATGGTGTGATCAAATATTGACCATATAATCTCTAAAATCCAAGAAACTTAAGTTTTCTAACTAGCTGTTTCACATACCTAATAGAGCTACCTACATTCTGAGAATAGTCTCTTGTTTTATATCAATTATTCAGTAAATGTTTGAGTGGATTACAGATATACTTTTTAGGATAAAGTCATCCAACTAGTAATTTCTTTTTAATTCATTTTTATTTTTAAATTTTCATCATATAGAATGCTTACGATTTTTCTGCTGAGACTCAGGATAAATAACATAAGCAATAAGAATTTTCTCATTAATTTTTAGAAGCAGTCATAACTAGAATCAAACAAATTTTTCAAAGATATTGTTTTTGGAAAAACAGAAGAAACTGAGCTGTTACCGTAACTTAATACTATGTCAGTTTAGAAACTGGGTTTTCATACTTCATCATAACCTTAAGAATTAAGGGGTTTAAGGTTCGTATTTTTTTTTTTTGAGTTATTATGTTATTTTGATTAAATATAAAACCATACTAACGCTTTAAGACTCCTGTTGTGTGAAGAAAGAGTCTCACTGAGATAGCTTGCTCCTGCATTTTCTATTCTGTTGAAGGAAAGATCTATTACTTCCAGGGTGGTATTGCTTCTCAGTACATCAGCCAAAAACACCATTCCATCACGAGTTATTCTGTTGCTGGGAAAGGAAAACTATTTAGTTATATGTGAAAATGGCAAGTATTTTTCTTTTATTCATAGAGATAAAATGCTTTAAAACTGTTATCTAATAACAGAAAGTATTTTCTATTTTAGTAAAGGTTTATTTTAATCACTTAATTGCAAGAAAGTTAATGAAATTTTATAAAATATTGCTTGTATCCTGGTTTAACAGGTAAATTACTCATTCAAGTTATTAGAAGATATCAGTATAAACTGAATTAATAAATATTAAGAATTAAGTTAAAAGGTTCACCACAATGGTTGTATTTAGCGTATAACAAGGTATCCTATGAATATGAATATTTACATAGATTATTCCTGTGACTTAATTTTCACATTACTTAATGTGTAAATTATCACTTACCAGCTGACATCAAGGTAGCGTAGGTTACTATTCAGATACAGTGCATCACATAACTGTTTTAAGCCACAATTTTTCATATTATGCTTACACATGTGTAGTTCAACAAGGCAGTGATTTTCCTTCAACATGTGGCCTATATGGACTGTGGACTCTTCCTAAAATTTAATTAAAATCTTGTTTCTAAAATATAATTTTAAAGCAGTACATATTTATTCCAAACGTGGAATAAAGTTACTTAAATCAGCTTTTTAAAAAGATTTTATTGGTTAAGACTATTTGTTTACAATTTCATTTGTTTGGCCTGTTGTATTAAAAAATCATCTCTGCCACAAATGATAGCTTTGCCCACTCAGAAACAGGTAGCAGGCACTTGTAAAATACAGTGACTAAGTGATGTGAAATAGACTAATTTGATTTAAAACAACAATAATCCAACAATCATTTCAGGAAAAAAAAATTGGTCCCATCATATGTTTAACATAAAAAAAAAAAAAAAACCATTGCCGTCGAGTCAATTCCCACTCATAGCGACCCAGCAGGACAGAGTAGAACTGCCCCATAGGGTTTCCAAGGCTGTAATCTTTACAGAAGCAGACTGCCACATATTTTGTTAGAACCACCAACTTTTTGGTTAGCAGTAGAGCGCTTAACCACTTCGCCACCAGGGCTCCTCCCATTTAGCATATACGCTCCCCTACTGCTGGCCTCTCAAGAATCTCTAAACCTTTCCTACACTCTGCATATGTTTCAGAACTTTGTTTTTGATCTCTAGTCTTGATGAGTTTTAGACAAAATACAAACACATCTTTCAATCTTGATTTTTATTAAAAAGAAAAAATTCATTATCCAATGATATATCTGATTCTTCATTTTTATAATCAGACTAAATGTTTATAAAATGTTCTTAAATGTTTTACTCTTGTTTTCTGGTCACTGGAAGACCTTTTTTTTTTTTTTTTTGTTTTTTTTCCTTAAGTTCCTCAATCTAGCTGCTTCCAGGCAAAAAGTATATAACCTTGTTATGGATTGAATTGTGTCCCCCCAAAGTAAGTGTTGAAATCCCAACCCTGTACCTGTAAATGGAGGCCCTGGGTGGTGCAAACAGTTAAGCATTTGACTACTAACAGAAAGTTTGGCAGTTCAAACCCACTCAGAGGTGCCTTGGAAGAAAAGCCTGGTGATCTGCTTTTGAAAGGTCACAGTCTTGAAAACTCTATGGAGTGCAATTCCACTCTGCAACACATGGATTTGCCATGGGTTGGAATTGACTTGATGGTAACTGGTTTTTATTTTTTTTTTGGTTGGTACCCATAAATATTACCCTGTTTGGAAATAGGAGTTTTCTTTTGTTATGCTAATGAGGTCATACCAGAGCAGAGCGGGTCCTAAACCTAATCATTTTTTCATTATAAAAAAGAGCAGAATAGACACAGAGATACACATGGGAGTTGGGGGTGGTGAGGAACACCAAGGAATGCCCAGGACTGATGGCAGTTACCAGGACTAGGAGAGAGGCCCACAGAAGTACTCAAAGCAGCTGAGACCCTGATTTAGAGTTTTAGCCTCCAGAACTGTGAGAAAAAAAGCTACCCTCTTGTGGTATTCCTGTTTCTGTAAAACAAGTGAAATTATACTTCCCTCAGAGAATTAAATGAGTAGACAAAAAGTACCTGGCACAAAGTAAATCTGTTCTATAGGAAAATGCAAAACATTTAATTACTGTTCAATATTCTACAATAATTCTGTATCTGAGTTGTTTAAATAATCACTTTGACACTGAAAAGATATGTCCAAAAGGATGCTGTTTAGTCTGGGATCATAAAAAAATGCGAACTGACCACTTAGAGGGTCCCAGTATTGCTCTGCCTAGTGACTAGCATAGAGGACATAATAAATACTTGTATTTTGTGCCCTGATTGCATTTTTAGGCCAAGAAACTTGAAAGATGGATCATCCTAATTAAAGGGAGGGAACTAGTGTCAGACATAAAAAAGGGTTTTAGCCCCGACTTTCTGATTTAATTTGTTTAGTGTGGCATGGCATCAGTGTTTTTCCTGCCTCAGGTAATGTCAATGAGCAACCAAGGGTGAAATCCAGCATCTTAGGGCTTTTTGTTTTGTTATCCCCTGTGCCTCCATGGTAATAAAGTCAAAACCTTAAATGGAATAGGTTTTAAGTTTATCTTTGGGAACAGCACAGTATGGGGGAAACACAAGAGAATTCTACTCAACAGCCATTTAAGAGGGAATAGTACCCTTAGGGACAGAAAGGAATAGAAGGCAGGCTAGTGCTTGGCTGGCTGCAGAGAAGCACCAAGCCCAGAGCAAGGACCTAGGCCTGCAAGAGAGGCTGAGCTTTTAATAACTACTCTCAGATGGACTTGGAAATGACACCACTCAACATGTTTAAAAGAGGGACTGTGTTTCTAACGAGATTTCATAAATTTTAACATACTTATTTCCTCAGAGATTTAATCAAAAAATTTCTAATTTAGCCTTCAAATCTCCTGTCATGTCCTCAATCTGACAAATTTCTCTGCCAGCCACCTCCCCCTGCTTTGACTTTGATGTCCTTCTTCATGGCACCCTGAGAAGTTCACTCTTTAGACTCTTCATTTTACTTGTGGATGTCTCTCTACATCCACACAGACTGAAAGTTCCTTGAGGACAAGGGCCATGTGCTTTATTTGACTTTATAGCGATAGCACCTAACGCTGTGTCTGGTTTACAGTTACACTCAAATATTTACTGAGTAAATGAATCATGATAAAATAATTCACTGTGTACCTACTTTGAGCCAGGTACTTGGCTGATCTTTTATGTATTTTTGGGTTGTGGTGGTTGTGTGCTATCGAGTCCAATCCAACTCATAATGAGACCCTATATGACAGAGTAGAACTGCCCCAAATAGTTTCCTAGGCTGTAATCTTTATGGGAGCAGATCGCCACATCTTTCTCCCATGGAGCAGCTGGTGGATTTGAACTGCAGACTGTTAGGTTAGCAGCTGAGTGCTTAACCACTGTGCCACCAGGGCTCCTGTATTTTGGGTAGGGTTCTTATATTTGAGGATTCTGGGTGTCTTGTTGAATAGATTTATGTACATGAAACAATTAGCATGATATAAGATTACAAAAATTTTGGTACAGAAAAGCACAGAGATAATCCAAAGGAAGAGGTCTGTGCAGGAACAGAAAGGAAAATACACTTATGAATTTGAAAAATACTACTTTAAAAAATGGTTAATTCTGAATTTCTCATACTAATGGGCAACAGTGAGGTAGATGATTTAAAGACTGTATATAAACATTTTCTTTTCCTTTTAGTACATATACCTCTATGCTTTTGTTCAGACCAATAATAAAATGAGTTCTTATTCCATAACTTTTTACAACTAATGGGAAAAGACATATACCCAAAAGGAAGTTAAAGTTTCAAGGGAGAAGCCCTGAAAGTAGAAACCATGTGTTTACTCATCTTTTTATCTTCCATATGCAGCTTACCTGTAGGATCAAGTCCAGACTTGCCAACCTGCTATTCATACACATTTCAAAGATAATTTCAAAGACTTAATGGTTCAGTCATATCAGTTAATGTAACAAAAAACAAAAACAAACAAAACAAAACAAAAAACAATAACATAGTTCACACTGGGCTCTTTTAAAGCCTGGCCTTTACAACTTGAACCATTTATACTTTCAGCTTACTACTTTGCCCCTCACAGATCTACTCACCCAGTAGTTGTTTACAAGAAAAAAGATGACGTTTGCTACTTAAGTTAGCGACATCTAAAATCACAGTTATGTGGTTTTACATTATTTATAGGAAATAATGTAATAATTTCCTATAAATAAAACTTTCTTTGTAAATAGTTTAGAAGATATAGTAAGTACAGTTACAAAAATATAGTACATTCATGAACCCTGAAATAACTTTCAATACCTTAATTCTATTCACGTTATATTAACTGCCATCACTTTGAAAACATACCTGTTCGCCATACAGTATAGGACGGTTTAGATTTATTCCCTTAATTGCTTGATTTTGGGTTAGTACTGTAGCAAATGCGATCACACTTTGCATTCCCTAAAAACAGATAAATTCATTAAGGAAACTGACAAAGTCTGACAAAGTGTCTCCCTAAATAAACATTTCAGTTATCTGAGGGCTGATAAATCAAAACTATTTTCATTTTATTATACTCCTTGAATTGTAGGCTGATGAAATTCAGAAATGAATTGTTACCGTGTTCTTTTTTCCTTGCCCTAAAATCCATCTATGACATGCATGGGGAGTTTCTTAAAGTTTCAGTATCCATTATTCCTAGGGTGTTTGCCTCTGGGTTTGCTCTGAAATCCTCAAAGTTCTCTATGATGCCCAATGATGCAAACCTCAGATATACAGACGTATATGTGGATCTCAGCAAGAGGATCATACTGCTTGTAACACATCCCTGTGTATAAGTATTCTTTTATATTCATACTAGTACTTCAAGTGTGTGTCTGTGTGTGTGTGGCAGGGGAGGGTTACTGGTCTTTCACAGCCCCCACAGGCCTCCCTCTCTACCTTATTGGACAGCTCTAATCCTCCCCATCTCCATGATGGACACCACCCCACACACCCAGCTGTTATGCTAGAAAACCTGGGCCTCCCCTCACTCCACCATTCCTTGTGCCCTCCCATCCAATTGATTAGTAAGCCTTACAAATTCTACCTGATGGGAGAGATTCCACCTGCTGGGAGGGCAGCACTTGGTCAACTCTCTCACCTCCTCTGGGCTGCCTCAGACTAGAAACAACTTCTTACAGGGAGAGAGCAGTCTGTACTGGACATTCTGCCTTGTTTGGAGATGCCTCTCTGCTGTGGCTTCAATGTGTACTTGTTTGTTTTGCATACGTGTGTGCATCAGGTGGCACCTAGCCAACCCCTCTGCTTTATCTGTTCCTGGAAGGAAGGGGACAGGGACCTTCGCCTGCAGCACGAGACAGGTGTGTGCAGCCCACCATCTAGCGTCAGCTGCAGGGAGTGACCCGCTGGCCATGGGGGACTGATGCCCTACTAAAGCAGAAAGCAGATCTTACTCTGCTTCTGTTCCATGTAAGTAAAGACTGTTCTATCCAGTGCCTGTTGTGTGAATCGTGTTTTCACTGTTGACCTCAACACTTGCTTGACCCCATCTCCAAAAGATGTCTCAAATTAGTCAATTCCTCTCTACTTCTCGGCCACCCCCCTAGCCCCAGTCCACATCATCTCTCACCTAGAAGGCTGCAGTAACTTCCTAAGTGTGCAGTCAGCTTCCTCTTGCCACCCTCTAACTCCTCACTGAGAAACCAGAGTGATCTTTTGAAAACATCAATCAGTTCATGCCACCCCGCAACTTCAAACCTTTCCAAGGTTTCCCACTGCATTTATAACACAGTCCTCTCTCTTTCCTCCCACCCACGTGACCTTGCCTAATATAGCCCCTGAGGACCTCTCCACCTTCACTTTCACTCTTTTACTCCCTGTGCTCAGCCACACTGGCCTTTCAGTTCTTAAAACCTGTCAGGCTCCTCCTTGCTTTCAAGTAGTTTCCTTATTCATGTTCCTTCCTCATGGTTTTTTGCCACACCTGAGTATCACTTTTACTACTTACTTAATACTTCTATGTTAAATCAACCCACTATTTCACTTTTATTATAAAATAAAATTTGCTAACATTGGCATAAATGGAAAACAGAAATAATCTGTAAAATATGTGAGTATTAAAATTACCTCACTCTGCACCAATAATGCTATTCATACCACACTTAGAAACACTAGCTTAGAGTCTACACATGCTAGACTCCTTGCCTGGAATGTTCTGCCATGACCCTTCTCCATAGCAGTTTCTTTTCATTCTTCATGACTCCTAAATATTGCCCCCTTATAGAGGTCTTCAGCAACCATCCGATCTTAGGAGGTTACCTCTTCCGCATTATCAAAGCACCGTTTGTCATCTTCATAGCACGTTTCTCTATTTGTTTATTGATGTTTTCCCAACTAAAATATAAGCTCCATAGGAGCAGAGACCATACTGGTTCACTGTTGTACCCTTAATATCTAGCACAGTGCCTGGTACATGTAGACAATAAATGCTGAGTTGAATTAATGCTTTCACAGTACCATACTGGCTGCCCCTACCTCCTTAAAAGTAATTCTTCAGAACCTGTTACCCCAAAGGGCCTCCTGGCCCATCTTACTGTTTGCATGTCCCAGTGATTTTGCATGGCTGGGTGGAACCCAGAGACTGTACAATAGGTTTTCAAAAGTGGGCCTGACGGAAAGGGACAGGAGCTGGTTGAATGGACATGGGAAATCTGGGGTGGAAAGGAGGAGTGTGCTGACATATTACAGGAATAGCTACTGGGGTCACATGACAATGTGTATATAAATTCTTCTATGAGAAACTAACTTGAGCTATAAACTTTCACTTAAAGCACAACTGAAGAAAAAAAAAAAAAAGTGGGCCTGAAAGTTTGAAAGCATGTTTGAGAAAGCAAAGCCTGGAGTCTGAAGACATGCAAAAAACACACATTTCTCATCAGACCAGATAAAGGCTCGGAACAGTTTTTACAAACCATTATCATTTTAGGTTTTTATGCTACAATATAAATAACTACTCACTACAAAATTTTTTCAAAAGTAAAAAATACATATTATTTTAATGAGTGAAGTAGTATTTGTTTAATTAAAACAAACTGATCAATTTCTTTAAAAATCCCATACAGGTTAAGATGGACTGGATGGAAGTTTAGGAATATTTTTAGTTATACTGGGTATTTTTCTATGGTATTATTTACTACAATCTGATTTTATTAACAGTTAATACCATTATGTCTAGGGGGAAAAATCCCCTTTCTCTGATATTAGACATTAGGGGCAAGATTAATCATTCATAAGGCTCAGGGTCTCTTGAACAATTCTGCTCTGTGCTGGCTTCCTGGGAGAATGGCATTCCTGATCTGGGTGACCTTCTCATAACCAGTTTACTCACCAGATCACAATCTCCCAGATCTAATGTCTCTAAGGATGAATTAATTTGCAGCATTGCGGCAAAGAACATTCCGCCTTTATTTTCAATCTTGTTTCCAGTCATTCTTAGATACTTCAGAGTTGTATTCTTCTGAAAAGGAAAAGAATCAAAACTTAGATATTTAAGTTTTTAATCCACAGAATTCTCTTTAAGTCGTCTGAGTTAGAGATTATTTTTCTAGGATATAGTCCTTAAAAGGTAACATGTGATTTCCCATAATAGAAGAAAATCTAGTTTCACAGCAAGTATGTTCAGGAAAGAGATGCCCAGGTGATGACCAGTAAATAAAACAAATCTTAATAAACTTTCCTTTCATTGGAAAATCTGCAAATGTATCTTCTAAGAAAATTATCACTTTTTTTTATTGTGGTAAAAAACTCACATAAAATTAACCATTTTAAAGTGTACAATTCAGTATCATTTAGTACATTCACAATGTTGTTCAACTATCACCTCCATCTAGTTTCCAAACATTCTCATCATCCCCAAAGAAGACCCCATACCTGTTAAGCAGTCATTCTTCACTGCCTCTGTATCACTTAAAAAAAAAAATTTTTTTTTACTGTGTTTTTTGGTGAAAATTTACACAGCAAATTAAGTTCCCATTTAACAATTACTACATAAATTGTTCAGAGACATTGGTTACATTTTTCACAATGTGTTAACATTCTCAATTCCCTCAGATGTTTCATTTCCAGTATTCTGGTTTCCCTGTCCCCCTACCCTTTCATCTTTGCTTTAGAGTAATTGTTGGACCATTAGTCTCATATAGATGATTTTCTAAAGGTGCACAGTACTCACTGGTAATATTCTTTATTTTATGAGCCAATCTGTTTCTTAGCTAAAAGGTGTCCTCAGGGTAGTTTTGGTTCAAGGTTTATGGAGTATGTCAGGGCAATAGTCTCTGGAAGTCCTCTAGTCTCAATTGGTCCAATAAGTCTGGACTTTTAAGGATTTGAGTTCTGTTCCACATTTTTTCTCCGTCTATCAGGATCCATCTATTGTGGCCCTGATTAGAAAGATCATTAATGGTAGCCAGGCACCATCTAGTTTTTCTGATCTCAGGGTAGAAGAGGCCATGGTTTGTGTAGACTGTTGGTCCTATAGACTAGTTTCCCCAGTGTCATTTGCAAAGTTTAATTCTATCTCTCATTCTCTTTTGATAATTTTTTCACAAAAAATTACAGATGTTTCATAGTTCTAATGAATATATATATATATATATATAAGGATACAGAAAAGCAAAATATTAAAAATGAATTCAAATATTTCTACGATCAAGAACAAGACAAGATGTCCACTCTCACCACTTTTATTCAGCATTGTACTAGAAGTTCTAATCAAAGCAATTAGGCAAAAAAAAAAAAAAAATTTTTAAATATTGGAAAGGAAGAAAATGATCTATTTGCATATGATATGATCTTGTATGTATAAAATCCTAAAGACTACAAAAAAAAAAAAAAACTATTAGAACTGATGAGGTTACTCAGAAAGTTAAACAGGTGGGGGAAAAGGCGAATGGTTTGGCCTGCCATCTTCTTCTCCACAGGGCTCCAGGCCAGGGCAGCTGGCCTCACCATCTAGTGGGGAAAACATAAGGAATTTACATAAGACAGTTGTGCAAAATGGAGGTGGAAGAACTTTATTTGTGCACAGAGATACTCCTGAGAATAATCCAGATACTCTATTTGATTTTACACCAGAAAACTATAAGAGGATAGAGGCAATTGTAAAAAACTATCCAGAAGGGCACAAAGCAGCAATTGTGCTTCCAGTCCTGGACTTAGTGCAGGGACAGAATGGATGGTTGCCCATCTCTGCCATGAACAAGGTTGTAGACATTTTACAAGTACCTCCAATGAGAGTATATGAAGTAGCAACTTTTTATAAATGTAAGCCAGTTGGAAAGTACCACATTCGGGTCTGCGCTACCACACCTTGCATGCTTGGAGATTCTGACAGCATACTGCAGGCCATTCAGAGAAAGCTTGGAATAAAGGTTGGGGAGACTACACCTGACAAATTTTCCTTATAGAGGTGGAATGTTTAGGTGCCTTTGTAAATGCACCAACGGTTCAAATAAATGACAACTGCTATGAAGATCTGACACCTAAGGATATTGAAGAAATTGATGAGCTCAAAGCTGGCAAAATCCAAACTCTGGGCCAAGGAGTGGACGCTTCTCTTGTGAGCCAGCCTGTGACTGAAGGACCTGCTTTTGGTGTACAAGCAGGTCTTTAATTTATATTCAACTGTACATATGTCATATGTCAGTGAAGAAATAAAATACGCATCTCTTGTAAAAAAAAAAAAATTTAAACAAAGGAGCCAACATGGTGCTATAGACAAAAACACCATGCCATCCCTTTGTAGCAAAGACCCGAAAAACTAAGTAAAACAGATACAAACGTCAATCCTGGAACCCTAAGCATCAAATGAAGGAATAAAGAACTCGATCAAACACCAAATGGAATAAGAAACTCACAGAGAACAGAGAAATGAGAGCTACAGAGTTGAGGTCCCCTACCAGCTCACTGCAGCTTGGATTCGACATCTGGGACCTCAGCCACTAAGGACATGGAGTATGGGAAGGCAATTTCATGCAGCTCCCAACAGGAGACAGCGTACCCGTTAAACAGGGATAAACGCTTTCTCACTCCTCACCCATCTTCACTGTATGAGGCCTTTGCCACTTTCCAATAGGTCACAGTCGCTCGGCTGGAGAGACATCAGCTCACTGCTACCCAGGTCCGCTCAGCCCCCACCGGCCAGCCCCTTTGTTGCCATTTTTTTGTTTTTTGATTTTTTTTTTTTTGGCTTTTTTTGTTGCATCTCTCTCTCCCTTCTTTCCTTTCCTTTTTCCCACCCACCCACCCAGCCCTGAACACTGCCCCCACCCCTTCTTGAGGGGCTGTACTACATTGCTAGGCTGAAGAGTCACTGCATGTGGCCTCCCTGGGTCTGCACCACCATCACCAACCAGCTCTCTGAGTGCCATTTTATTTATTTTTGTTTTTCTTTCTTTCTTTTTTTTGTTGTTGTTTATTCTCTCTCTCTCTTTCCTTTCCTTTCTCCCACCCACCTAGCCCTGTGCACCAACCCCCCTTCTTGGAGGGCTGGGCTGTACTGCTCAGCTGGAGAGCTTCTTGCACACAGCCTGTCTAGGTCTGTGCTGCCCCCACAGGCTGGCTCCCTTAGCACCATATTTTTTATTTTTCTTTATCTTTCCCTTGCTCTCTTTTCCTTCTCCCTTCCATCTAGGCCCTGCATTGCCTCCCTCCTTCCTAAGAGGCCGTACTGTGCCACCTGGTGAGAGAGACATCAGCTTGCCGCCACCCCAATTCCGCCCTGCCACCAATGGCTGGCTCCCCCATCACCATATATATTTTTTGTTGTTTTTATTTTTATTTATTTATTTTGTTTGTTTGTTGGTTTCTTCTCTCTCTTTCTCCTTTCCTTCCCTTTCTCCTGCCCACCTAGCCCCATGCACCACCCACGCCCCTTCTTGACAGGCCGAGCCACACTGCTCAGCTAGAAGGCCACTACCACATGGCCTTGCCAGGTCTGCACCACCCCCACCCACTGAATTCTACCATGCCACCATTTTATTCTTTTTTCCTTCATTTTTCTTTTTTTTTTTTTTGCTTTTGTTTCTCTGTCTTCTTTCTCTTCTTTCACCCACCCACTTAGCTCCATACATCACATCCTATCCTTTCGCTCCTGCCTATCTGCACCTTGCACTGCGTACTGAGCCCCCAAGTGGCACCAATGCAGTCCCCTGGGCCCTGCCCTGCCCTGCCCCTTGGCCCCACCCTGTCAGTCCCAGTTCATGCCACAACCTACCCATCCCCACCCCTTTACCCCCGCTGAACACACCCTACTACACCATAGTTGAGTGAACAGCCCTGCCCACCTGGACAAGGTGGTGAGAATTATCATGTCCACAGGTGAGCAAGCAACAAAAGACACCCAGGCTGCCTGCCCAGATATAACCAAATAAAACAAAAAAGCAGGATGAAACAATCAAATTTACAACCAATAATAATAAGAAAATATTACTGAATGTCCTGGAAACAGCAGACAATATCAAAACATATTAAAAAACCAGGAGAGGATGGATCCAGCAAGTGGCAAAAATAAAACACCAGATGACGTTAGGGTAGAAGAAAAGCACTGGAATACCCGGTAGGGAATTCAAAACTCTAATATTCAGGGTTCTCTAAAAGATGAAGGAAAATGAAGACAAAAATAAGGAAAAAATAGACACAATCAGGGAAAACACAGACAAAGCAATGAAGAATTCAGGAAAATAATACAGGAACAAAATGCAAAAATAAATAAACAACTAGAAATCATACAAAAACAACAATTAGAAATCCAAAAGATAAACAACAAGATTTCAGAAATCGGCTGTGCAACAGAAGGTTTTAGGGGTAAATTTGAAACAATGGAAGATCAGCAAAATTGAAGACAAATCCTTGGACACCACTTTGTTTGAGGAAAAATCAGAAAAAAGAATGAAGAAAAATGAAGAAACCCTGAGAATAATGTGGGATACAATGAAAAGCAAAAATCTGCGTGTGACTGGAGTTCCAGAACAGGGGGAGAAAACAGAAAACACAGAGAGGATCACTGAAGATTTGCTGACAGAAAACTTCCCTAGTATCATGAAAGATGAAAAGCCAACCATCCAAGAAACTCAACGAACCCCATATAGGATAGACTCCAAAAGAAAATCACCAAGACATAACATAATCACACTCATTAAAACCAAAGACAAAGAAAGAATACTGAGAGCATCCTGAGAAAAATCAAAAGTCACATACAAAAGAGAAACAATAAGAATAAGCTCTCATTACTCAGCAGAAAACATGCAGGCAAGAAGACAATAGGAGGACAAGTATAAAATCTTGAAAGAAAAGACTGCCAACCAAGAATAATATATCCTGCAAAACTCCTGCTCAAATATGATGGTGAAATCAGGACATTTCCAGAAATTAAGGGAATATGTAAAAACCAAACCAAAAAAGAATTATTAACAGGAGTCCTCTGGCTAGAGAACCAACAACATCAGACAACAACCTGAATCT